ATCCTGCCTTTAGTAACTGATATGTATCGATATCGGAAAGGAGACGAAAAATGGACTTCATTGATGTAATCACTGGTGTGTTTGTACAACAAGACATCCTCCTTTTATCAGCTTGCTTGATGACATATGTTTTTATTGTTCTCTAAGTCTTTATTAGGGGGCTTGTGCTTCGGAATTGCTCATGTTATAAACTGATAAGGTGGCTTATTTGCACAAGCTGAGATCTTCTTATATAATGCTGCCTGGTATGAAGGTCTCAATGTATGGGTCCCTTGGAACTGTACTGGAAAGAAACTGATTTGGATTTAAAACTGGTGTTGAATGTATCTGGGTCTAAGGAAAATTCTTAGGTGTTTGCATGTTAGAAGGTTGGCTTTCCATCCATAATCCTCTAGTCATCTGGACTAATATTCTAACATAAAAGAAAAAAGAAAACTAGAAGAGGCCAGACGTGGTGGAAGAGATTCCAGGCTAAAAAAGAAAAGAGAAACTAGACTCAACCGAACACAATATAGTACAGTAAAGATTTTTAATCTCATCCTCACAATACTATCATACATGATGAGCTATCTCAATTACATCCGGAATATGGACGTCAGTTTCTCCCCTGCATCTCCCGGTCTCTTACAAATTTGTTACCTATTTCAAGACCTAAATCAGTTTTGTGTTGTCGGTCTTTATAACTATCAAAAGAACATTTTTTCTAATATCTCCCCATGCTGACACTGATCCCCAAACCTATTAGTATTGATTCTCACATACTATCAATACAGACACATCTCTTCAAAGAAGATGATAGGAATAGTAGTCCAAATGCTAGAGGATACTATGGATGTAAAGCCATCCTTCTAACATGCAAACACCTAAGATTTCCTTTAGACCCAGATATCATTCACACCAGTTTTTAAATCCCAAATCCAGTTTACTTTCCAGTACACAGTCAAGGGACCATACATTGAGACCTCTACGAGGCAAAAAGGATCTTCTCAGCTTGTTGCAATAAGCCACCTATCATTTATAACATGAGCAATTCCGAACGCACAAGCCCTTAAAAGACTTAGAGAACAATAAAAAATACATTGTCATCAAGCAAGCAGATAAAGGAGTGAAGTCTTGTTTGTATACAACACAAGTGATTACAATCAAATTCGTCTCCTTTCGAAATCGATACATATCAGTTACTAAAAGGCAGATCCTTACCAGAATATCAAATAGCCCTCAAATTACTCACAATTGTGACAAAAGCCTATAATGATAAGCGTAATTAATAAGAGAGAAAAGTCTTTCTCTCCTTATCCCCCTATTTGTAGTTAAGTACCCAATATTATTTTTTATCATTTGCCACCAAAAAAAATACATCAAATCTACTACACATACCCTCCTGGCCGTCCATAATTATTGCAAGCACCAATAGTTTTACTAATGGCAACTTTCTAAATACATTTCGACCATGCCTTCTCCAATCATTCCATTAGTTGTACAATTGCCAAGTCATGACAATCAGAGACTGACCCAAGTCATGAAATCCTCAGCCATATTATCATGGAAACATGGGTATCAGGGCATCACTTGATGTAACTTTATACACACATCAATCCCCACCACCACATAGCCTAACAAGGCACTCTTCAATATTTCTTATCTTCTGAAAGTTCTATCAACTCCACCCAAGCCAAATTTATTATTGAATGTACAGAGAATTTGGTCCTTTACCCATAATTTTTTTACATTCCTTGACCAATTTTACTGCAAACTCTCAGCGCGATTGGGAGCGAATTTTTCGCCCCTTGTTACCCAATCTCCACAATGGGCTTTTGGAGGAAACAAACATTAATTACAAATTTAAACACAACCCCTTTTGCCAAAATATATCTTTTGCTTTGGGCGCTAATTGAATGACAGGTTTTGTTTAATGCTGGGAATGGTGATTTAAATTCGAATTTTTATTCTTTTGTCGCGCATATTGCCAATTCAACTCTAAACTACCTTGGACTGTTCTTTTACTCATGTTTTTAACTCTCAAGATATAATCTTTTTAGGACTTGGTTTTTGTCAGTCACAGATAATGAAATTTGTAGTACAAATTACACCAAACCCACATAGTGGGAACCCATATCTACACTATTCTAGCTGTCACCATCCAGCTGGAAAAATAATATTCCCAGTGGCCAATTCCAAAGACTAAGGAAGAACTGTTTCAAAATTATGTGATTACCAAGAACAAGGTTCTCTCCTTTCAAAAAAGTTTTCTAAGAAAGGCTATCCCCCTTCCCTTATAAAAAACGCATATACCAAACATAGCGTATTGATAGACCGAACATACACTCAGGCCGTGACCAGTCTAACTCGGTAGGTTCATCACTGGTTTCAACACATCACATCGTGATATTACAAACAACATCATTCGCAAACACTGGCACATTTTTACAACTAGATCCTAGATTTAGCACCTAATCTCCCACGCGCCCCACAAGTAACTTTCAAGAGAGCCCGTTGTTTGAAAAAACATTCTAGCCCCAAGCAAAAATGTCACTGTCCACTACTACATAGACAACGGCCACCCTTCCTACATTTGACGACAGAATTGGTATTACAGATGCAACAAAAGAGGTTGTCTCACCTGTAAGTCCATCACCCATGGTAGATCACAGTTTTTGGACTCCCAGGGCAACAGCAGCTACCACATTCGTCAGTTTATAAACGTGTGCAACTGACCACGTCATATACTTTCTCACATGCCCGTGTAAGCTCCTATATAGGTAGGCCGAACCACACGCCCTCTACGCAAACGCATAGGGGAGCACAGAAGACTTATAAGAGATGGATGCGATAAGCATAGTGTCCCTAGGCACTTTTTGCAATCCCATCAAAATAATTTCAGTCTTCTTGAGGTCTTAGCAATCGAACATATTCCCCAAAGGGTACATTTACTGACAATGAAAGACTAGCCCGTTTGTGTAAGAGAGAGACGTTCTGGATCTACAAATTAGGTTCTATGACCCCCAATGGTCTCAATGAGGATCTTGAAATCCATAGCATTATTTTTAACAAGTTTGACTTCTAGTCCCCGGAACTAGGATCCTCCAGTGTTTTTTATTACATACAGTATTGTCTTCTTTAATCCTTGTTTTTTAATCTGCACTGTCACCATGTATATATTCTGTGCACTCAATTACGAATACATGTTATTACGCATCTATTATATTTATTTAATTATGAACATACAGTATGAGCTACCTAATTTGATACCAGGATTGATTTTATTATATTCCTTTTAGTCATACCTTTTATACAGTCATTTTCATATACCTTTGATACAGTCATTTTCATATGCCTAGCATTCACTTCTCCCTACTCCCTTCTTTGCCCATATACCCCCATAATTACCTCACTGTAAACGCAATTTTTGACATAGCTTCCATGAACCAGCGATGTCATTTTTAACTTGTGTGTTTTTTTTTTTTTTTTTTTTTTTTTTTTTTGTTATTGTATTACCTTTATTTCACTAAAGATGAAAGTATATCATGCTTTCCAATGCTATTGTTTTTATACATATCATTTTTTATAACTTGCAATCTGTACCTTTAAATTTGTATTCAGCATTGCTTCAGGACGAGCCGTCCGCTCTGATTGACACCCCATCCCCTGCTAATTACACTCAGCCAGCCTTCCCTTTAATGGTCTTCTATATAATGGCCGCCGGCCATGGTTACCAGAGACTTGACAAAGCGCAACTGCGCGAAACATGTCGTCTTGGTAACCCCACATATGCTCCCAGCTGAAGCCAACGCCGGACACTGCCTTCGTTTGCCATGGTGACACCACCCAGGACGCTGGTACGCTGACACCACGTGATTTGAAGCCGACAGGAGCATTCTTTGATCTCAGCTCCCCTCAGAGCGGACGGGCCGTCTATTGGAATCACACTGTCCACTTCAGGCTGGTTAATTTTATTATACTTGCTACTTTATCTCACCCAATAAAGATGCACCTCCACTAAGGTGCTTGTCTGAGAGCATTTTCCACAGCGCCTTTTTTTCCAGTTCTCTTCATCATGCATATGATTAACAAGGCAGCAGTGGTGAGCTCATGATTAACTGTTCACATGTTTCCACCTGGAGTGGCCTCTCTGCGCTCATTTGTATGAGTTTTCATATTGTCAGAGGATGCCTGTAGATACATAATGGACCACAAATTTAAAGTCAAATGAGATCCCCTCTCTAATCTGCCCATTCTTGTCCCTTTGCATGCCTCTGTGAAGATAGAGTTGTAAATCTACCATTGTTGACTGTCTTCTCTCAAAGGTGAGGGTGTACAATGAGGATCAGATAACACAAGTTCTGCTACTGGGTACACAATTCACATGACTTTTAGTCATAAGGACACTGAGGTAATGACAAATATGCCTATGGAGTGGTTGTCAAGATCAAGGGACTACATAAGGGGGGCAGTGTGGATGCTGCTTATGCCATTAATAAGAATGTTTCTCAAAACCCCTTTGGTGCTGGACGTAGGGCCTACCAAAGTAAATTGCCAAATTGTGGCCATAGTCTATATACTGAACATTTAAGCCAGAAATGTCACACAAAAAAACAGTGGGTTGCATTATGTGTAAGGGCCGCATTTTGTTTTCTGATTGCCATATCTACCGCATTTTTCGCTCCATAAGACGCACCTGACCATAAGACGCACCAAGGTTTTAGAGGTGAAAAACAAGAAAAAAAATATTCTGAACCAATGGACTGCAGACGTAGTACAGAAAATGACCAGAGACTGCAGACACAGTACAAGAGATGACCAAAGACTGCGGACACAGTACAGGAGATTACCAGAGACTGCAGACACAGTACAGGAGATGACCAGAGACTGCGGACAGTACAGGAGATGACTAGAGATTACAGACATAGTACAGGAGATGACCAGAGACTGCAGACATAGTACAGGAGATGACCAGAGACTGCAGACATAGTACAGGAGATGACCAGAGACTGGGGACATAGTACAGGAGATGACCAGAGACTGGGGACATAGTACAGGAGATGACCAAAGACTGCGGACATAGTACAGGAGATGACCACAGACTGCGGACACAGTACAGGAGATGACCAGAGACTGCGGACACAGTACAGGAGATGCCCAGAGACTGCGGACACAGTACAGGAGATGACCAGAGACTGCGGACACAGTACAGGAGATGACCAGAGACTGCGGACATAGTACAGGAGATGACCAGAGACTGCAGACAGTACAAGGGATGAGCAAGAGACTGCAGACAGTACAGGAGATGACTAAGAGACTGCAGACCATACAGGAGAGGACCAAGAGACTGCAGATAGTACAGGGGATGACCAAGAGACTGCCGATAGTACAGGGGATGACCAGAGACTGCAGATAGTACAGGGGATGACCAGAGACTGCAGATAGTACAGGAGATGACCAGAAACTGCAGACAGTACAGGAGATGACCAGAGACTGCAGACAGTACAGGAGATGACCAGAGACTGCAGACAGTACAGAAGATGACCAGAGACTGCAGACAGTACAGGGGATGGCCAGAGACTGCAGACAGTACAGGAGATGACCAGAGACTGCAGACAGTACAGGGGGATGACCAGAGACTGCGGACACAGTGCAGGGGATGACCAGAGACTGCGGACACAGTACAGGAGATGGACCAGAGACCGCAGACAGTACAGGAGATGAACAGAGACTGCAGACAGTACAGGGGATGAACAGAGACTGCAGACATAGTACATGAGATGACCAGAGACTGCAGACAGTAGAGGAGATGAACAGAGACTGCAGACAGTACAGGAGATGACCAGAGACTGCGGACATAGTACAGGAGACGACCAGAGACTGCAGACAGTACAGGAGATGACCAGAGACTGCAGACCTTTGGGGAGGGAGGGGGAGCGGGTACCTGAATTTGACAGGTCTCCACTCCCACTTCCACGGAGTTGTCCTCCCTTTAGTGTGGGCATTCACTAATGGCGTCCACCCTCTGATGAAGTGCCGTAGCACGAAAGGCCTCAGGAGGAGCCAGTAGCAAGTGTGACTTCCTGACCACTGAGACCACGAGGAGGTCCGGTGGTCTCTGATTCTTACCTCTGCCGGGTTAGTACATGTTTTACTTATCTTTCATACTTACCAGTCCGCTTGTTGGCCGATGGTATCTGTATGCACATGTGACCCTGGCTTAACTACTGTTGATCCAATAAAGTTTTTGAACCTACTACACTATTGGCGTTCCCTTTTTTCTTTGACCCTCTTGCTGGAGGGTTTCAGATCTACATCTACCACTTCTGGGGTACCTGGAACCAGGAGGGGGACCCCTGTCTAACTATCATTTGGGGCAAGAGGGCTCTCTGGACCTGGAGGTATATCACTGCACCCAAGGCTGATGTCAGTATTTGAGAGGGATGATCTATGTGTTCTCTGGATCTGCATGCCTGGCTGGTCATCTGGATAAAATTACACACATGCGCTTTTAAAATGCGCGGACGGTGAGTGCGCATTTTTTCTGTTTGATTCCAGTCACCTAATGAGGAGGAGGCCTTCACATGTTTATGATTATTTTATTGTGAAAGAACTTTATGAACTATTTCACTTTTATATATTTTTTATCTATTTAATTACATTACAGCACTGCACTATATATATTTAATATTCACGAGAAGCGCCACGCTTGGTGAATGACCCGACTTCTTCTGGGACCTGTCATGTGTCCCAGAAGACGCCGGGCCATTCACAAACATAGCGCTTCTCCCTGTTCAGCCGGGTGCACACACTAAAGATGCCGGCGCGGGAAGACTGTACAGCGCTGGACCGAGCAACAGGTAAGGTCCTGCTGCAGAGAAGAGCTGAGCAGCCAGCCCGGTATTCTGACACGGTGGCGGCAGCGGAAATACCGGACCGGCCCGCTCCATATTCGCTCCATAAGATGCACTGACATTTTCCCCCTTTTTTGGGGGAGAAAAAAAAGTGTGTTTTATGGAGCGAAAAATACGGTACTTAATTCCAGAAATGGTCCCTAATGGTTGAGTGGACAGGTCCTTTTTTCCACCTTTCCTGACCTAACCTTGCTCACCCTGTCCAAGACACATGGATTAGCTTGATCCAATGGTTGTGGCTGTAGGATAGATCCCCATAGAGGTCTATGGGGATTATTGTTACATAGAAGCATAGTCAGGTTGAAAAAAGACACAAGTCCATCTGGTTCAACCAATAGAAACAAACAAATAAAATACCTCCATATACACAATAATATACCCACAGTTGATCCAGTGGAAGGCAAAAAAAAACCCAATAAAGCATAATCCAATATGCTACAGCAGGGTAAAAAATCCCAATCCCCAAGGAGGCAACCAAGATATTCACTTGATCAACTACTCTTGGGGTTATTCTCTATAAATGTTAGTATCCAGTTAAATTTTTTGCATTTAGGAATGTGTCCAGCTCTTTTTAAAAACAATCCACTGAGCTGGCCAGAGCTAGTTCTTGAGGGAATCTATTCCACATTTTTACAGCTCTGACTGTGAAGAAGCCTTTCTGTATGTGAAGGTTAAGGTTAAATCTCATTTCCTCCAGACATAAAGAACGCCTCCTTGTCCTCTCTAATGACCCAAAAGTGAATAACTCAACACCAAGTTCACTATATGGACCCAGGACTGCTGTTCGAAACCACAGGGCCCCATAGAGCCAACCTGACAAGCCCCCCCCCAAAAAAAAACCCCAGTATATAATGTTTCAGTTATGAATGAACACTATGAGTGATCAGTATGACATATTTACTGGACCCTTCCCCCACTCACCATAGTGAAGGATCCTATTGTGTGCTTGCAGCTGCCGATAGGAAGGAAAGGAGGGAATCTGGCAGCACTGTGGGAGCACACAGGGGGCCTGGGCAGCAGGGGAAAGTGTATGGTGCACAGGGAGGGTGATAGGAATGGCGAGGGGGGAGATTACTGGACCTGATTCCCTGTATGCCTCTCTGCAGCAGCTGAAAGCCAGCAGAGAGAGAGAGGATCGGTCCTAGTGATTGCCCCCCTGCCATGCCAATCCCCCTTCCTGCCCATATCCATTTCACCCAGCTGTCTGGGCCCCCCTTCTGGCCTGGGCCCCATACAAGAGGACTGGTGGTACCCCCTTATCCACAGCCCTGTATGACCCAACTACTGGGGGTTATTTGCTAAAGCTGGAGAGTGCGAATTCAGGCTCATCTCTGCATAGACACCGATCAACTTCCAGGTTTTAGTGTCAAAGACAAATTGAATGAGCTGAGGTTAGAAGCTGATTGGTTTCTTTTGCAGAAGTGAGCCTGATTTTGCACTTTCCAGCTTTAGTAAATAAACTGCACTGAATGTATTTATACATAGTAACATATCTTCTTTTCATCTCCTCTTCTCAAAGGAGAATACATTCAGTTCCTCTAATCTTTCCTCATAGCTGAGCTCCTCCATGCTTCTTATCAGTTTGATTGCCCTTCTCTGCACTTTCTCCAGTTCCCCAATGTTCTTTTTGGAAACTGGTGCCCAAAACTGAACTGCTTATTCCAGATGAGGTCTTACTAATGATTTGTACAGGGTAATATGATCTCTCTCTCCCTGGAGTTTATACCTCTTTTAACACAGGAAATTAATTTACTAGCTTTAGAAGCTGCAGCTTGGCATTGCATGCTGTCATTAAGTTCATGATCTACCAGAACCACCAGATACTTCACCATTGGTTCCCCCAGTTGTGCTCCCCGTAGAATGTATGATACATGCATGTTTGTAGCCCCCAAGTGCTTAAAGGATAAGTTCACCTTTTGTATCATGTTACTTATTACTCCCATATTTGTAACATGTTATGAAAGAATTGGCCCCCACTCCCCACCATTCCACCGCTTTGACAGCTAGCAGGGAATCCCCCACCCCCGCTATATAATAAAATAAAAATATAAAAACCGTGGCCGTATGGGGCTCCGCCCACCTGACCACGTCATTCCTCCATGAATGAGAAGTTACAAGTCCTGACAGCAGCTGTCGGCTTGTAGTTCTCAAAGAACTACCACAGCGCTGTGAATCTATCTGTCAGTAGATCTGCTTGCTCGTACATCCTGCATGGGCAAGCAAATATATTGACAGATCTGCAGGAGACCTGCTTTCCAGGCATCCTGCAGCAAAAAATTATAAATGCACATTTTATTACCTGCAAAAAATATGAATGTATTATTTTTTTTTATCAAAAGGTGAACTTATCCTTTAACTTTTATCAACATTAAACCTCTTTTGCCACTTAGTTGCCCAATTAAACAGTGCATTTAGGTCGGCTTGTAAATTGAAGACATCCTGTAAGGACGTTATTCCACTGCACAGTTTGGTGTTATCTGAGACTGAACTGAGATTTTTAATCTCAGACCCTATGTGGTTTATAAATATATTAAAAAGTAAGGGTCCCAACAGTGAACCTTGGGGGAACACCACTGACAACCCTAGACCAGTGGTGGGCAACCTTTTTTTTCAACTGAGCCAAATCTCGCCAAAACCACGATTGAAATTTATTTTGAGAGCCACATTTTTAAAACTGAAAATACATCCCCCATATAGTAATTCATCCCCCATAGTAATTCATCCCCCATAGTAATTCATCCCCCATATAGTAATTCATCCCCCATAGTAATTCATCCCCCATATAGTAATTCATCCCCCATAGTAATTCATCCCCCATATAGTAATTCATCCCCCCCATAGTAATTCATCCCCCATATAGTAATTCATCCCCCATATAGTAATTCATCCCCCATAGTAATTCATCTCCCATAGTAATTAATCCCCCATATAGTAATTCATCCCCCATAGTAATTCATCCCCCATAATTCATCCCCCATATAGTAATAGTAAGTTTCATCCCCCATAATTAGTAATTCATCCCCCATATAGTAATTCATCCCCCCCCCTATAGTAATTCATCCCCCATAGTAATTCATCCCCCATATAGTAATTCATCCCCCATAGTAATTAATCCCCCCTATAGTAATTCATCCCCCCTATAGTAATTCATTCCCCGTATTAATTCATCCCCCATATAGTAATTCATCCCCCCTATAGTAATTCATTCCCCATAGTAATTCATCCCCCATAGTAATTCATCCCCCATATAGTAATTCATCCCCCATATAGTAAGTCCCCCCTATAGTAATTCATCCCCCATATAGTAATTCATCCCCCATATAGTAATTCATTCCCCATATAGTAATTCATCCCCCATATAGTAAGTCCCCCCTATAGTAATTCATCCCCCATATAGTAATTCATCCCCCATATAGTAATTCATTCCCCATATAGTAAGTCCCCCCTATAGTAATTCATCCCCCATATAGTAATTCATCCCCCCTATAGTAATTCATCCCCCTATAGTAATTCATTCCCCATATTAATTCATCCCCCATATAGTAATTCATCCCCCCTATAGTAATTCATTCCCCATATTAATTCATTCCCCATATAGTAATTAATCCCCCATATAGTAATTCATCCCCCATAGTAATTCATCCCCCATATAGTAATTCATCCCCCATATAGTAATTCATCCCCCATAGTAATTCATCCCCCATATAGTAATTCATCCCCCATATAGTAATTCATCCCCCCTATAGTAATTCATCCCCCCTATAGTAATTCATCCCCCATAGTAATTCATTCCCCATATAGTAATTCATCCCCCATATAGTAAGTCCCCCCTATAGTAATTCATCCCCCATAGTAATTCATCCCCCATATAGTAATTCATTCCCCATATAGTAATTCATCCCCCATATAGTAAGTCCCCCCTATAGTAATTCATCCCCCATATAGTAATTCATCCACCATATAGTAATTCATTCCCCATATAGTAAGTCCCCCCTATAGTAATTCATCCCCCATATAGTAATTCATTCCCCATATAGTAATTCATCCCCCATATAGTAAGTCCCCCCTGTGTCAATTCACTTACCTTTGCTCCGCGCGTTCCTCTCGCCGTGTTCCCCCGCGCCGTTCTGGTCTTCAGGGCGGACTGTGAGAGGAGAGGAGTTCGTCACGCTGCCCCGCCTACATCCTGGCTGCCCCGCCTACATCCTGACAGCTGCAGAGTCCTGACTTTTGGGGCGGCCGCCCGAGAGGAGGGAGGGGAGGGGGCGGCGGCCCGAGAGGAGGGAGGGGAGCGGGCGCCCGGCACACAGAAGAGCCGCATTTAAGTTTGTAAAGAGCCGCATGTGGCTCGCGAGCCGCGGCTTGCCGACCACTGCCCTAGACCATTCAGAGTATGAATCATTAACCACTACTCTCTGAATACCATCTTTTAGCCAGTTTTCTATCCATTTACAAACTGATTTTTCCAAGCCTGTAGACTTTACCTTACACATTAGCCGTGTGTGTGGGGAACTGACTCAAACACTTTTGCAAAATCTAAATGCACTATATCCACATCCACTCCTATGTAAGATTTTGCTTACATCCTGGTAAAATTAAATCAGATTTGTTCGATAGCTGTCTATTGTTTAAAACATTGTTTTCCACCAAAAACTCATCTATGTGGTAATTTACTAAACTCTCCAGCATCTTCCCGACTATAGAACATAAACTAACTGGTCTCTAGTTATTTGGTAAAGACTTTAATCCCTTTTTAAATATAAGAACCATATTGGCCTTACACCAATTCAGTGGTACTGTGCCAGTCATTAAAGAGTCCCTAAAAATTAGAAACAATGGCTTTGAAATAAGAAAGGTCAACATTTTGAGGACACATGGGTGTATGCTATCTAGTCCAGGTGCTTTATATACCTTTATTTTGTCTAAAGGTTTCCGCACCATATCAATTT